GATTTTGCAACTTCGGTCGGCCGAGTGGGGTCTTTGGCGAAAAGACGGTTTTGTTCGCGCCACGTCCTTTCTGCTCGCTGTCGTGACTCACACGCAGTCCCCCTCACCAGTGTGAAGTAGGGATGTCCTCGCGTCTGCACCGGCAATGACAATGCCTGTCTGGGAGACTCCACCTGCACAAGTTCATGCAACAGATATCCAATATCCATGCCGTGAAACGGGTGGCAATTAGTGCAACAGCCAATCAATGCAGCCGCTGCGCCTTGCTTCGTTTCGGGGTGGCCTGTCCGTTCCCTGTCCGCCCTCGTCCACCACGGGCTGCTGCTCGCCCGGCTCCGTGCCCTCTTCCAGCGCTTTTTCCTCTCCCTGAGTTTGGGGGAGGCCGGCCTCCACGGCCCCCATTCCCACGGCCGCGGGCCCCACGTCCACGGCCTTTCTCGGGAGCTTTTTGCCCTCTTCCTCGACCACGTCCTGGTGGTCCTCGGCCACGGGCCTCAAGCAGAACTGAAAGCCACGAGCAGAATGGAAATTCCTTGGGGCCGTGCCTGAGCCTTCTGTGCAGCAGTGCGGCCTCCACGACCACGCCTGCACCAGACTCGCCCCGGGCCACTGCAGCAGCGAAGTGCTAGAATGTGAAAATCCCACTCCTCGGAGGAGCTTTGGCCTCAGACGTTGTGCAGCACAAACAGGTTTCCAAGACTCTGTATCGATGCATAAGCACAGGCTGAAGTGCCGACCTTGGGCATGGAAGCGATGGCAGTGATGGCAGCAGCGGCGACAAGGGCTCTGTTGAGGAGGCGGATCTGAAGTACTTGACTCTACCCCTCGCATAAGGATATGCCACCACTGAGTTCCCGAGGCGCCTGCGTATGCGTCTCCTCTTCAGCGGCGCAGCTGGCGACCGACTTCTACGCCTACACCTCTACATCTGCGAGCATCCTGGCATCCTCTGGTGGGAAACAGCAGGTCAGGCACGGCGAAGCACTTTGGAGCAGGGACACATGCAAACTCAGCAAAGCTTGGCAGAATGCCCCGGGGCATGGACCATGAAAATTTGCTGAAGAGTTTTATAGTCTTCCGTTGGCACTATCACCTTGGAACGTCGCGGCAAGGGGAGCGGAGGTGGACGTCACAACCTCCAAAGCCTGAGCTCGGTGCGCTCCGCATGGCGGCGGCCACCTGGTCCAAGACCTCTTCTGTTGCCTCACGGCGGTTGGTCTCGTACATGGCGTGGACCTCCTCGCAGTTTGCTGAAGCTTCGCTAATCAATTCCAACTAGCAGCCGCTTGCAGCACGTCTTAGTAGAAAGCGGTCCGATCTTCTGACAATGGAAGCACTGGGGCTTGCAAACGCTGATGGGTACAAAGCGTCTCATAGCCAGGCGACATCAACTACTCGGGCAATTGATAGGCAATTGATAGGCAACTTGAAAGCTTATCTGGCGCATGACCCTAATCCGGCACAACATCTTCAACTCAAGCCGGGTCCTCTGATATCCTCGCATGCTGCTCGAAACCGCGGTGCTTAGATCATCCATGTGCAGCAAACCATTGCAGCTTTGCGACATCAAAGGAGCTCCAAACTCCATGACCTGGTGGGGAAAACACCCAAAGCCATCATTCGCATCGGCCCAGTTAGTTCATGCAGGCGGCTACTCTGCCACCAAACCTTAGATGAGCAGGGCACTGAAGTGGAGCACTTGCGAAGCCCATCAAATCATAGGTCATGTCTGGGAAACTGGTGTCCTCGAAAGTAGTTCAGGCCCACCGGAACGATGGGGACGTTGATGTGGTGAAGTCCTTGGGGCTTGTAGCCAAGGCCATTTCAGCTTGAGAAATGGCATGGAATGTGCAGCCTCTAGACAGCTAGTTAGCGGCTGTCAGCAAACGAAGAATCCCCTCAGGCCAGCACGCAACGCTTCCAAAGCTATGACTGCCACTCCGGCTTTGAGGGGCAGCAAGTCTGTTCTGTCATGGCTTCCACCTGGCCAGACCAGGAGCATGAAACACCAGAACCCCATTCCAACGGAACGGCGCCTTCAGGGAAAATTCCCAGGCAATTGCCCGAACACAAGTTTTTGTACCTGCGGCAGAAGCCGTGCTTCTCGCGAAGCTTCAATATGCCACACGGGGTACACTTGTCCGTACATTGCGGACTGGTCGACCTGCTACAATCCAGCACTCCTGTGAACTGACTTCGAATGCTCCGTGTGACATCTGTGCCTTGGGGTGCACCTTAAAGCCCGCAGCCAATGAGCAGGTAGCCGGCACATCCACTGTCAGCTCAGTGGAGCTGTGCACCTCGCCACATATTCAGTCACAACTAAATGTCTGTGAGGGTCAGGCTGCGGCCTCCTTCACCTTGAGCAATTTTTCATGCCCTTGAACGTGGATCTGGCTTCCGGGAGGCACCTGGCCATCACGAGCAGAAGCGCCACGGCGCGGATTCCACACAAGACAACAGCGACGCATGGCCTCTACATTGAAGTGGGTGTCGATGCCTTGCCTCCCAACAGGGACATGCTAGCTTCAAGGGTTAGACTTTTTCATGAACGGCATCTACATTGCGCTTGCACCTGTGCCTTCGAACTGGAACAACCCATTACGGCATTTCGTTCTATGGTCAGTCTGCAGAACACGTGCGGAAAAAAGAAGGCAACGGCTTGGCTAAACATGCTGAACTGAGGAAAGAGCTGCAACAGCTAATCAAGCAGCATGTTACCGGTACGGAGCAGGCACAGCAGCAAACCAGAAGCAAACAGTTGCAGTCAGCAGCGGCAGCAGCAGCAGCAGGAGTGGCAGCAGCAGCAGCACGAGTAGCAGGAGCACCCGCACATGACCAGCTGGCATGCGCATGAGCAGGTAAAAGGATCAGGGAGAAAGAGAACAGAAAGTCACACTGAACATGGCTCACTCTCGCAGGAGTGCGCATCTTGCCATTCAATGTCTTGCAGCCAAGCAGCACTTTCGCTGAGCCCTGTTCCAACTTTATCGTCCCTTGTCCTGTATAGGCCATATCCTGGACGAAGTCCAATGCTCTTGCGTGGAGACAATGCACCCGCTCATCAGGCTACGAGTGTCGCTCGGTCAGCAGCGCCTGCGGCCGTGCGACCGGGATGCAGTGAAAAGCACGCCTTGGTCGGTAGAGTTGTGTCGAACTTGCTTAGGCATCTCTGTGGTTCGTAGCTGATGCATCTTCAGGCTGCAAGGCTTAGCAGATCCAAGCTGCGCCAGAAATCCGACGAATGGTCGATCGTAGGATTTCCTCAAACATGCCCAACATCCGAACGCGCAGATCTCCCAACACAGAGGAAGGCTTGGAAATGACAGGCGCACTTTGTCGACTCTTTTCATCACCGCAGGACAAACTCAAGCTTACTGCATAGAAGCCCAGCGTCTGCGCAATCATGAAGGAAATTTCACGCGGGCAGTTTGTCAACAGCATCAAGCCGTCAACAAACCTCATAATACCGGGCTGCAGTACGAGAAAAGCTTCGACAAGCACATGAAGCTGTCTGGATGCCTGATCTGCAATGCCGAACCACACCGATCATGGCTGACAACATCGCAGAACTTCAATCAAGCCGCTGGTTGTTGTGATTTCCGGTGATGATGACAGGACCTTCCTGAAGCCGAGGTCCACACTAGTTTCTGCGGTTTGTGCTTTGCCTTGGCACGTGCCGTTTGAAGCCATCGATGCCTGTCCTTGGGCAGATTTTCCATGCCCACGATCTCCACGGATCGGAAGAATATGTTGTTAAACGTGCACCTGAAAAAGATCCTGCGCTCAGACGAACTGCCACAGAAGTTTCCCGAGAGCTGTTTGGTAGGGTAGACCTTGCAACCTGCACTGTCCTCGCGCAGTTGTATAGAATATGGTCGCGCTGGTTGATCCCCAGCGCAAGCAATAACAGACTGGCGAAAACCCCCAGGTGAACCTGCCGGAGTAGTGAAGCGAGCTCGATTCCCGAACAGTTCCTCCGACGCGGTGAACCGCGCACATCTGCCTCGGAGAAGCCCATGAACCAGCTTGTGTAGCTGCATAACACCTGCCCGCAGCTGCACGCCAATTTTCATGGGTTCTATGGGTTCTCGCGTCCGCATCCCGCCTTCACTGGGTTCAGCTCGTCAAAGGACAGCAGAACTACTGAAGCCTCGCATGCACATGAGCCGTGCTGATTCCTCGCTGCTTCAGCCACTCTACACTCGTGTACGCTACTATATGTTCATCAGCAGTAGAGAAAGGACACCGTCGGGCCCCTCAGTTCTGCTGCTGAAGATGCAGCCTACACTGTCTACACGCATGATGTCGCGTGTTGCAAAGGACTCGAAAGCAATTCGAATTGACGGCATCGATACATCAAGGAATCAGCGGAGCGTTATGTGCGGACTTGTCGCCAAGAGAAGTCCAAGCTCACGGGCGGCAGTCCGCACTGTCCTTACATCACCACATGACTGTTCAAAACCGCGCCAGTTCTTGAAGGAATCTGCGGCAGTTGACAGCCGAGCCACGGAAGCTCACCCTGCTGTGCATCGCCGTCATCTGTTGGCTGCTGCATGGCCTTCAATGCATAGCTTTGTCTGTACTGTTGAAAATGACGCCTGCAACAGATCATACCTTCAGGACTTCCACAGAAAAGCAGAGCCGGCGAACAGCAGTATACAATACTGGGGAACCCACAATTCATGGGCCCTCACACTGGGACTATTGGAGACTTGAGCGGGATATGCCTGCGGGACCTCGTTTTGCATGCAAACATCTCCTACATGCACGATCGGCGTCAAGGGTGACCTTGCTCAAGTTCGCACGTCATCTGAGAGCAGTCGGCCTGGACTTACCAGCTACCCCAGCACTAAGCTTCCTCGGCTTTGTCGGAGCCAAGAGTGGCTGCAACGGCTGCCTTGGAACCCCCCGCACGACGTCTGCAGCAACCAAAGCTCAGAGGTCCCTGGGAGGTTCAATACAAACCATGCGAGTCTGGCAAAACATGGCGGGCCCTCAACATGTTTCCTTCACTAAACGGGCCGACATGCACCATCGTGGCCGCCTGCACCCAGAAGAGGCGTCTACTTCAAAGCTTAAAAGATGGGTTTGGGGCTCTCTAAGGCTCCAACTGAAAAGACAAACCTGCCGAGAACGATCTGACTTTAAATGCTGGACCCACAGGGGCGATGAATCTGAGCCCTGCGCTGCGTCGGAATCATGTCTGGAAGCCGCTGCCTCTCCTCGTCTGCTTGTCGAATCCTGGCCGGAATAAGAATAGTCATTGTCATTAGTCATTCTGAAGTCGGAAGTCTCAGTTCGTAACTGGTAGTCGTCTTGGAATTAGTATTAGCACGAGCAGCAGTATTGTATTGGTATCAGTACTAGTATTCGAATTCGCATTAGCATGAATATTATATTTGGTATTGGTCTTTAGTGTCCGCATTTTTCCCTTTACTAGTACATAAACAGCAACTTCTACTCATCAAATGATAATTAACAATAGCAACTGTGTTGGCAAGAGTAAGAGGATTAGGAATACAAACAGTCATCTTTTGTCACCCAATAGTAGTAATTGTAATCGGGGCAGCGGTCGAAATCGCAGTCGTCATAGTGATAGTCATTGTAGTAGTACCGGTGAAATCCATGTAATGCAATGTGATGTAATGTGATGCAATGCAAACGGATATCGCACAAGGCGGTATAGTATAACATCATGTGGTTTATTGCAACACACCATAACATGATATCATGATATGTTATATTATGTCATCTTATCCCTATGTTTCGCTATGCTGTGTCATATGACCTTATGTTGCCTTATCATGTAAATTAAAAACACGTTATATTACGTTATAGCAGTTTGTGCTATATGATATCATATTACCGTATATCATAATTATTTTGAAATGATTCTGTATACTGCTATAGCATCCTATGTCATAAGACATTACGTTATACTGTGCCATATTCTACTGTACTACAGTCTAGCCAAACATGGTGTATTGCATTAGGCTCAGCGAAAACATATTGTATACGATAATAACTATGAAACGATAAAGTACGACAGTAGTATAGCATAACATGTTTTAGCGTACCATACTCTGTTCCGGTATGCTCTTTTCTAGCACTGTAAAATGTCATACTACATTATGTCACATGATACATAACATACATGACAAAACATAATATGAGGTAATATAGCATAACATTAAGCATTCTGCACGCTACTGCAGTATGACATTCCCTAACCAACGAAAGTCCGCATGCATAACACGAAAAAGTCAGCCTAGCGTAAAATCAGAAAGTGTGCTACAACGCAACATGAACGAATATCATATCTTGTACTAAAGTATAACGTCACATAACCTAGTAAATAGAACATACGCCTTACAATGACAAAACAATGCTATATATTAGGTTGAAGCTATTGTGCTGTGGGCTACGTGACCTAGCATTGCATAGCCAAATTCACCGTAAGCCATACAATAGTCACTAGTACATAATGCAACATGATGAAATGCAAAATGCTTAACACGCCCGCATGCAGACGAGCATGAAACAACATGATACGATATGATACAGTATGATGGAGCGTCAAATAACTAACATGGTACGACATACCGGAAACTAACGTAGTACAATATAGGACCATATAACATATTAAACTATACCACAGTTTTGTGTGTATGGTAAAAAGAATACGCAGCAAATCACAGCACAACTTAATGTAATATGAAAATATACAGCCTAGTAACGGAATGTATATAGTATAGTGTATAAATCAAAATACACAACTATGTTGTACAAGGTGGTGCAGTACAATATAACATGAAAGGAAATACGGATATACCCGAATATAGTACACCATGATATAGCGGTATATAGTAAATCATAACGCTAAATAATATAATACAAAATAACATAATGACGTAAGACACGGTGGGATGCCACATCGTATAAGATGATCTGATATAATACACTAGAGTATGATACGGTGTGATATGACGTAATGTAGAATGAGATGATACAATACATTCTACTACAATACCATGCAACAGAACAGAATGAAATGGAATTCAATGTTTCATGATACAACACAGTGTAACATACCATTACATAAACGCACAATATGACATAACATAACATAAACACATATAGGCGTAACAGTTAGCGAAATCATAGCCATTGTAGACCAAGAGTACTAACAATAGTCAGTACTAGCAGTACAAGCATACTTACAGGAATAGCATTTGGATTAGTAATAGGACCAGGACTAAGACTAGGATTATAGGACTGCGACCAGGAATAGTCCAAGTCATAGTTATAGTAATAGCGGAAGCAACGGCAATAGCAAAACCCACGCTGTTTCGAATGCTAGTACACATTACCAGTAGCAATAGCAACAGTAATGGTCCGTCCCCGGAACCGAGGACGAGGCTTCGGGCGAGGTCTGAGGGCCCCAAAGATCTCAAAAAGATACACACCTCAGCGGGCCCGCGCGGCGTTTCTCGGGCTCCCCTTACCTAGGGTATCTTTCGAGATGCGGGCGCGTGAAACCTTGGAAGAGGGCATCGGCCTAAGCACCGCAGCAAGCCGAAGCGGCGCCGGAAGCAGATTAGATTGATGATTAACTTGCCTCGTCCATCACAACACAGGCTGGGTAGAGACCGTCCTCCTTGAAATGCGCCAGCTCCTCACCTCACAATCCCACATCCAGGTACCCAGCCCACCAAAAGCAGTCTCGATTTTCCCTGAGTAGCATGCAGAACTTGAGCGGTGTTGTAACCACGATGTCCGTTGAGCCCCAACCTCTGTCAGACATGTCCATGCACCTCTGGGTTCTGAGATGTTCTGAGTATACCTAGGTCGAAACGTACCTTGTCGAAGGGGCTTGGGTTGCTGTGTGTTGCCAATTCCGTTGCCAGGGGCCGGGTTAGTACACAAGAGGCCGCGGTTTGGAGAAGCTGCATCCTCCAGAGGATGGCAGCATCTCGAGTGCAAGGCTGTAGTTGCAAACTTCAATGTCGCAGCAGATCACGCGCCCGGCCGTAATGCTGGAAGCACAATCAACTTCGGGCCGCAGCGGATGCGCGGCGATGAAGAGACGTAGGCCGTGGATTCCGGACCTACGGACTTTGAGCTAAGAAGGTGCGTACGAACCACGACAGGCCCAGCATTGCTCATCGGGCTGCTTGGCTTTGTGGCAATTGAGAAACTGCACCGGGCCTCGTGACTCTTCCAGTGGCTTCTGCCCAGGCGTGGCAACCAGGGTTGTCCGCTCCTTCTCTTTGCCAAGTGCTGAGCTTGAGCTACTTGTGGCTCGTGAACGGGCTGGTCGGGTCAAGTCACCTAGTCCCGTTGACACTACGTGTCCATCGCAACGGAAGCGGACTGCGCTGGCGGCTGCAAAAGGCAGAAAGCAGAACATGATGTAGCAGACGGTGACAAAAGTTGAATTTCGGGCCATGTGCATGTCCGGCAGGAGCAAAAGCATCCCTTTACCCCAGGTCCTTCGGGCGAGGCTCTTGGAAACTGCTAGCGAAGCTGTCCTTGAGCTTCGGGGCAGCACCGACTCCGAGCTGGGTCAGTGTGTTTCTCATGTGTGCTTCAAGCTTTCAACCACTCCAGCTGGCCTGCTCCCTCAGCAGCAGTGACCCTGGCATAGTCTCAGCAAGATTCGAAAAGCGGCTCTCGCTCTGAGAACGAATTTCAAGCAAAATGCGCAAGCATCGCCTGTTGGTCTAACCGCCTCCCAGCGGAACAGCTGTGTTAGCGACCTCCAGTCGCTCAGGCTCAGTCTTGCTTCCTCTAGCAGAGGCACCGGGACTGCCACTGGGCGTTTACCAATCGATTGCAGTCTATGGCCTCGAGCATGGCCAGCACCTGTCGCTGATCCCACGAAAAAGAATGACGACAAACTTCGACAAGTCGTGATGGATGGGGTGCAAGTCAGCACCTTTTTCTGGGCACAGTCTTTTGCATCAGGATGCAATGCTACCGTCCGGCCAACACAGCCGTGAGGGCCGCGGCAATGTCTTGAAGCCTAAGCCCGCAAGCACGCAAACACGGCCTCAATTTCTTCGCCTCACCTCACGGTGTATCGTCTGATTCGGCGACTCCGACGACGAGGAGTGTGGCAACAGCAGCGAGAGCAGCAAAAGCCAGCAACTTCCTTCGAGATACATCTGTCCCATTTCCCTCGATGGTATGCCATGCTCTTTCTTCGTTGGGCACAGCATGGTGTCAACGGGCAAGTTTCACCGGTGCACTTAAGTGTCCATGGAATAAGCCTTGACCTGCAGTATGGTGATTGCTTGGAAGCTGTTGCAGTATCGTTGGACTCACAGTTCCTCCCTGCCCCGCCTCCGTGCACCTACCCCTTGCTCTCCGTGCCGTGTTGCCAAGGTCTCGGCGCCAGGCGCGGACTCACGTTGACGTCTGGAAAGCATGTGTTGGAGTTGGCTTTCAAGCATGGCAACTAGCCGAAGCTCTTGAGCCCTCTATCCGACCCACAGATGCAAGCAGCTAAGCGAAGCAGTCTGCCCTGTCAGTCTGACGGCTGCCGGGCGGCTCCTCTGCGCAGGCCGAGTGCTGCATGCCAGGATAAGCCTTGAAGCTTGCATGGATATCGTTGGCCTCCCGGGACGCGATATCAGCACCCACCCCAGCCAAGCCCAAAGAACGGCTGCTTTGGGGGGGGGGTGCCTTCAGCTCTGCGAGGCTCCGCTCGCCCCAGGAGATGGGAACCACTTGGTCTGCCTGCGCTCTCACCGCCACAGCCCCAAACTCCCCTCTTTTTTCCCTCCTGGCCTGGCCATGGAAGAAGTGGATCGCGGGCACCGGGCTGGGCAGCTGCACTGGTAGCTCCGTCCCGAGGAAGGAACTCAACACAAGTATGCCACCCACGGCGAAGTCTGTGGTGCCCAACGCTGCCTGAGCAAGGCTTCACACTTTCGCTGCTTATCAAGGGGGTGCGCGAGCAGCGGGAACGGGCCTCCAGAACCACAGCACCTCCCTGAGAGAAGCCAGCTAAGATGATGCGCCCTGGCTCTATCCCGTCATCAATTTGCTCCTCCCATAGAGGTTCCATCAAACAAAAAAACGCCCTAACATCTTCCAGCTGGTCCTTGATGAGCTGCCGGACGTAGGCCGCGCTTTCCGCGAGGCCCGGTGGGTTTCGTCGGAAAAGCTGTGGATCGAGGCTGTTGATGTCAAACCTTCTGACAAACACCGAACCCTGCATCGACACGTCTGCTCTGAGACGCCAACCAGCTGGGCATCGACATGCCCATGTTCACCGTCACTGGCCTCGGAGAAGTCAAACGCAAAAACCGGGCTCAGAGCTCTGCAGCTGCCCAGCTACTCCCTTTTTACTGCTCTGCTGTGCAGGCGAGGCGATGGCTGTGTTGGAGCCGTGGGAAACAGGAAACGCACCTCACGCTTCCTACGCCGCTTTTAAGAGGGAGCTCAACTCCCGCTATTTTTGCACGCAGTGACAAGCACATGGCAGAATGTTAGCAGAGCAAGGCGCCGAGCGCAGCTGCTGTTGCAACTGTGGCCCAACGTCTGACCATCCCTCTCCAGTGTCGCCCAGACCGTGGAGCCAGATAACCGCTGCATCCGGCGTCGACGGAGCTTCCTAAACCAAGGGCATGCGCCCACAAAATGCGGAAGAACCCCTACACCACATCAGAGATACTAGATGCAATCAATCTCGTGTAGTCCAGGCTGCAACAGCATACATTGGTCCAAACGCACGCAGGCCCGGAGCAGTCCTGTCAGCGATGCGTCACATCAGTGATAATGGGTCTACAGCGGATACTAACAGAAGACACGATCGTCAAATAGCTTTTGCCGATACAAGGTACTGGCGATTCTGATCATGATAACCAGACAGACAGTTCAGAAGTACTCATACCACTAACAAGCACCACCGCCTCGCCATGGTGTTGAAGGCCTTCCCTGTCATGGAGATGCCTCACCGGGTCCACTGAGTCCAGTATGGCTTCCTGCTCTGTCAATGAGTTACCATGATGTCTCGCCTTTTGGCTGCCCAACTGCAAAGGCATGGCGTGAGCTCATAGCCTGCCGAATGCGCTCTCGTAGCTAGGCCTATGATGAAGCGCACACAATGCACAAGTCATTGAGGCCTTGCTGGTCATCTGCCTGATGGTCATATTGCTAGGTCGTCTCCACCATGCACGGGCCTGCTGTGGAGAGACATCATGCCACTTTGTACATTGGGACTTGCTAAGCAAACTTGAAGCTAGAGACCAACCCCGGCCGACGTCAACGTAGAAGTTTGGATGCCACCCTCTCTGTTGAATGTATCTTCTTCGGATCCCGGAGATGCGAGACAAGTTAAGTCGTCCTGGAAGCAGGTTCCAGCCATGAGGGTAGCCATGGCCACAGCAGACGCCCGTGGCCATCCTGCTGCGGCTCCACTCTAAATTCACCAAGCTCCGCCAGGCGCTACACCCGTACACACTACAATCTGACTTTCTGCAGTCCTCGATGCCAAAAGGCCCGAAGCGAGGATGGGCTGGCCCTTGCAGCGGCTAGTAAGTAGGAAAGCCCGAGCACCGACGCACTTCACGAAAATGACGCTTCGAAACCAGCACGGCGCATCAACGCATGGCCTTCCACGGCTGCCCGGAGACTCCATGGCTCTACGCAGGTCAGGGTGTCTTCTTCAGTTGCTCTCGTTGGGTTCGGGTCCGTTCGGGTGGTCTTTATCTTCATCTCAGCGGCTGCTGCGCAAGCAGACTGGAAACCGAGCACCGACGCTGACGAGAAGTGCAAACGCTACCATCTTCGATCATGTCGAAACCTATTGTGACATCGTGCCTGAGCTGCAAGATCGCTCGTCGGGGTCAGCCTCGGTCTACCCAGCCATGAAGCCATGAGGCATAAAGACAAGATCCTGTTTGCATGTGGCTGGGGTTCTGGCACGACCCAAGGACGGCTTCCTGACTCGTCAGTCAGCTCTTTGCCGCTACTTGGCATCCGGACTTGCTGTATCACGTCTTGGTGCTTACCCTTCTTTTCTTGCAGGACAGCTGTGGACTGCGCAGGGTGCAGGAACGTGTTTCTCTGCGTCTTGACACAAGGCCCCGGCTCTGCAAAGGGTTCGGGGCATCAGGATCCTGAGCCGCCTGCCGGGCTCTGTCCTGGCCATCCGGCTATCCGGCGCTTGCAACGAAAAGTGCCCATGGCTGTGATCACCAAGGTTTCGGCATGAAGATGGTAGATACGGTTCACCAAAGGCAGCAGATAGGCCTGAACACTGAGCCAGATCATTGCAGCCACCACGAAGGACAGTACCAAGCGCCCCACAAGAGTCTTTCCTGAGCCCGTCTCTGCGCCTTCGGTGATGTCTGTTGGCTCTAGCCAAATTCTGGCGTGTTTGTGCAGAACCGGACCTGACACCCCCCCCCCCCCTTGAGGCACCAGCGCATGATAACGTCTCGTCCTTTTACTATCGGAGCGAAAGCCTGACCAGATATTGCAATTGAAAAATGCCGAGGCGAAACGGAAACTGCCAAGCGAGACCACATCTCGTGCCCGGGATGTCGAGGTTTCGTGCTTGAGTCCGCACCCTCCTTTTTTTTGCCTCCCTGCTTGAGTCCGCACCCTCCTTAGTCCTTATAGTGATCCTGCACGAGGCTTGCTCACGAAAGCCATACTTTCAGAATCCTGTTCCCACCCACTCGCTGGCGCAGCAGGCCGAACAACCTCCTGGCTATGCGCGAAAAAGTTAGTCCAAGCCGAAAGCCCTCAACTTTAAAGCCCATTTCAAGGCATCGGTTTTGGGTTTGATGTTGCTACCATGCTCTAACTACGCGATTGTCTCCCAGCCGCTTGCAGCATCACAGAACTGCAGAAATTCCGAGTCTTCTGAGAACCCTGCTCCCGCTTGAACCTCAGATGGCGGAACTTGTGTCCATGCTCTGAGCTCGGCATCGCACAGAGGCCCGACTTAAGGGGCTGTTTCGAGCTCAGGCGGCTGCCAGGGTTGGCCGTAGAATATCGTGAACTGCCATGGATGACACCTAGCAACAGCATCGCTGTAGCCGGCAAGCGAAGCCTTCTGACCACGACCATGATCAAGAGTACAGCGTCACGCGCACAAGCGACAGGAATGCGGCAGCGGAGGTGTTGGGAGGCAGGCCAGCGTTGGGTGTACCCCCATGGATTCGAAGGTCGTGTTGGCCCAAAGCCCATCATAGCCTTCACTCGCCGTCAGAGCTCAGCTTTCCAACTCCGGCCCTCCATGGAAGTGTCTGAGGTCGGAGCTACGCCCACCAGGAATCCTCGGTTGACTTAAATCCCAACGGCGCTCGACAACGCCCTTGCAGGAACGAACCACGAATCTCCGATGCGCAACTAAACTCAGCATGAACAGTGGCCTGGCGATGCTTGAGTAACTTTGTGCAGCTTGTCTGTCTGCTCGATCCATGCTCTCTGCCACGGGGTCTCATTTGTGAGTCCCACCAGCAGGTCCGAATTCACTCGCTGTAGCTCTTTTGAAGAACACGCGAGCGGAGTCGTTGTCTTTGGCGAATCTGAAGTTCGCATTGGTGGGCGGCAGCACATTGCCTGCCTTTAGGGGTGCGGATCACGTGTGGATCATCTTCCCCGAAGCCACGCACAATCATAAATAAATCATGAATTCTACCCTAGCTACTTAACCAGGAAGCCTTCCCTCCTGGTGCCAAGTCTGCGAATGCGTAAACGCTGGCATACGCTGGCATACGCTGGCTGTACAGCTTGGCAAGATCTGCGAATAGAAAGCGAGGCTTCTCGCTTACAAGAACATCTCCCCGAGTGATACGGAGCAGCCTGCGGGCAAAGCAAACAGGGTCACATACTCTTGAAGAATGGAGACTGAATGACTAAGCGCATCAGGGAGAGCGAAAACCTCATCCGATCAAGGAGTCAGAGGCTCTGAGGTGCAAGCAAAGCAGAGTCAGTGCTATTCCCGACCTGCCACGACCAGGGAAAGCTGCGTAAATGGGCACCGCTCATGTTTCGAAAGGCAATGTTCCAAATAAGGCAGGCAGCATAGCAGCGCTTGATGTGGTTATCCAGCTTGCGGGAGTTCTGGCTGGAATCTTCGGCTGGAAGTCCGGCACCGGAAATCTGGTCAGACGGTGATGAGAGTCTGCACCATCATGATGCTAACAACCCCGCTGAGAGTGGCACATCGCCATCACCGAAGGGTCACCTCGCTCGAGCTTCGCAGCCGTGTGAGGATCGGTTGGCTCCAGATGTGGGGGTTGCAGGCTCGGGCATGGTGAAGATGGCTTACACAAAACTGCATCAACTCCTTGACTAGAGCCTTCCAAACCACCTGTTGACTTCGAAATCCTTCGTTGTTGCCTGCAAATGCATCCCTGGCAAACGGAGAATCCTTCGTCTGAGCTTGGTGGCAACATCAAAAGGGACATGTCCCCATTGCCAACATCAGTCCGGCTGCTGAAGGTTTGGCAATCGTAGTCACCGCACAGGAGCACCTGCCGCAGGTGCTGACAGCAAGCACACTGTCGAGACATCTCCCCTCATTTCTCTGTCAGGCCACATACCACTCTGTGTTGATCGGCGCTGAAGTTGAGACAACCACGGGAAAATTCCTGAGAAGTGGCTCGCGAGGGCGTCACAGAAAGCCTAATCACCGAATCGGGCCCAACCACCGACGCTCTCACACGCTAGCAGGCTGAAGCACCACGAAACGCAGACCAGCCGCCATTGAAACGTCCCCGACGCGACGGTTGTGGGCTCGATGTAGATGCGAACCTTGCTACACGGCCGCTTTTCTGGACCGACTTGACAGTATCAAAGCCAAGCCGAGGCCCTGGCCCAACGCTTGTTGCTGAAATCCCGCCACTCTTTGTCGATGGCCAACTTGGCACAATTCAACTTCTGCAGAATTGATATGTCATGGCACGGGCCTCTTAGGCTCGCCTGTCCACATATGTTGTAGCCGAAACCCGAGGCTCATCTCGAATCTGTCCTCCCAGCAGCCTGTCTCCAAGTGAGGAGGCCTGCCTTCAGGACGATGTTCAAGCCCCGCCCCTCCAAAAGACGATGTTGATGCTGTCAGGTCTGAGTAGTGGTGCAGGAGGAGGTGATGGCAATGTTTTATCCTTTCTGCTGCTGTTCACAGACGGGCGGTTAAGATGCCCTGGGTCCCGTCCCTGTTCGTCACAACGCACGTGTCTTAATGCCGCAACTCGACTCGAAACATGGCACCACCCTGAAAGATCTGCTGCACAACCATAGCACGCTTGTCCCACCTCATGTCTAACTGAGAACAGCACCGGAAAATTCTTGTTGATGTTGGCGAACCTTGGAGTTACTGCAAACGATCAGATGCTTTTTAGAACAAGCTCAAGATACCTCCCTACACCCCGGAAATCAAGAGGTAGATGGCGTGTAACCAGACCGGCCAAGCACCGTACAGGACAGTCAACATTAACAAGCTTCTCAACACTCTTAGTGATCAAGTCGCGCAGGTCTTAGCATGGCCTACTGTGTCGACTGCTCCGCACGAGCAGCTTGATCCTAAACCCGGATCTTGCCAGGCATGGTGACCGAAACTCCCTCTCCCTCTGTCGCAGACCCCGTCACCTATCAGTTGCGACACAAAACACAGCGATTTCGCTACGTGCGTATACCTACGAAGACACCACGAGGACTAGAACTGCCTCCTGCTTTCAAGCTATTTGAGGCTTCCCTGTGTTTCGGCGTCGAATGGTAATCATACAACAAGGTACCCTTCCTAGAACAATGGAACCCCAACCCAAAGATCGAATTCTACTGGTAGCACCGTACCAGGCGAGAGGCTGGTTCTTGTGCTGGATGTCATGACGATAACCCTCCGGCAGCATGAAAACCTCGCCGTCCAAAGCCAGGTGACACAAAATGTGCGAAACAGCCAAGGCCACGGGCAAAGATGCAAGTAGGAGCTGCAACAAATGATCGGCCGGGAAATGAGGCCCGAACCAACATTCGGAGTGTCCGAATGCGGCGGGTTATGATGACCTCAGCTTCAGACCCCAGGCAAGCTATCACAAGTTGAACAACGCGACGAGCGTATGTTACACTTCGACAACAAAGTCGGTTTCTTCCCTTTCCCCCTCCCTATATCCCTTTGCAGTGTCTCTATCTCGCGCGCTCTCCCTGTCCCTCTCTCCAGGCCTGAAGGACATGCCCCCGCCCGATCTAGATCTCTCTTTCTTTCGCCAGGGTTATTCCTCTCCCTCTTGTCCAGGCTCCCCGGGCCGATGGCCCACCGGTGCTGTCAGCAACGGGCATTGTGGAGGAAAGTGAAAGCCGGAGCTCACATGTCGGAGGATGAAGAATGCCGAAGTCAAAATTTATTAGTGCCGGCGAAGGCCCCAAACAGTATGGACATAAAGATTGGAGAGAGACATGCTACAATACAAGGTTTGTTATGGTGTCCTGCCAATGGAGTAATTCCTGAAATTGAAATTGTCAGGCTTAATTCGTTCAAGAATGCATATAAAGCCAGTAAACTACTTTTCTCTTAGACAGCTGGCGGCCCAGTACTGCAGGTTCAAGTCGCGTCAAAATTTGAAACACTTCCGTTCCAAAACCGCTTTAGAAACCTGGAAGCCGAATCAAAGTTTTTTCGGGGCGATTTTCGGGTTTCGACTTGCACACTCGCTCAAGGCAGGCACGGCTTCCAGACAAGTCCGAAATAAGAGCATCTCACTACTACATGTTCGGATTTCGACTTGCACACTCGCTCAAGGCAGGCACGGCTTCCAGACAAGTCCGAAATAAGAGCATCTCACTACTACATATTCGGGTTTCGGCGCTGACACTCGAACTATCCAGGCGAGGCAGGTGGTTTGAGGTCTGCTTAGAAGTGAAACTTTGCGCGTGTAAGACTGGCACAACAAATCCCTAACAAGATACAAACCTTGGAAAGGGGTGGTCTTCAGCGCGCCGAAATCCAACAAGTCATACATAGCTTGCTGTGGACTTCGACAGGCTACACTGAGATCACTGTTCGGGCTTCGGGTAAGATAACAGCCCATAAGACATAAGACGATACCAAATGACAGAAATGGGATTGAAAAAGACGTGATCTCACCAGAATCATCAAGATTCCCTCTGGTGAATCTTGCAATAGCTTTACGGACCTTGAGTCTTGGAGAGGAAAAGTATGCTTGAAGATTTCGAGGTTAGCGTAGATGTTACGGGAATCATACGTGAAATCGGAACACGGACTGGGTTTAGGGACGGTGGTTGACCTCTAAATGTGGCGAAGCCAGGGCCAAACGCGTTTAGCGCCTTGGAAATGCAGTTCGGCTTGGTCGGGGGCTTCGAGACCTCGATTAAAGCCTCGGGAGTGGGGCCAGGGGCATGAGCAAAGCTGAAACAAATTTCAATATTCTTCCAAGGTTTGAAAAATGCTTGTTTGGGCCTTGGATACCAAACTACGGCATTAGCAGGACGATTCTCGGTTTAGGCATGGCATTGGGCTCCAGATTTGTTGAAACGAAGACCAAACGTGCTTAGCAGGCTTTGGAAAATGCACTTGGGCTTGGTCGGGCTTCGAGGGCTCAATTGCAGCCTCGGGAGTGGGGCCAGGGGGAACAGCAAAGCTGAAACAGCTCCGGGTGAAAAGTGCATTTGGAGCCTGGAAACCAAAATAAGAGGCATGTTCGGTGCGATTCTCGGATGCAGGGACGGCATTGAGCTCCGGATGTGGTGGAAACAAGGCCACACGAAAAAGCTTCCAGAGCCGCCTTCCACCGATCCTTGCGGGCCCCCAAGCCGCGTGGCACCCATCCAAACCGGCGCGCTCCCAGCTCCAAAGCCACGTGCAACCCATCCCGCCAGGCGCGTTCCTTTTGAGGACCTTAAGAGGTCCTGTTTGGTGGGAAAAGCCCCGGATGTAGGCTCTATTCGACATGTCTTCAGAATCGCAAACGGCAGTCTTGCCTACATGGACCAGGTTTCCCCTGCCGGAAGGCCAGGCAGAAGGCTGAAACATCAACCCGTGTTCAACTTGTGCCTGCAGAGTCCACGGCTCAGGGCACGAACACCAGAAGGCAGTCCACTGGCTTGGGGCCAAACTTGTGGAAAAGGTATCAGCGCAACACTACAACACGTCACAAGCCAATCTGAGTACATCAGCTCCAGATTGTCAAGTATTTCGGCATACTGAGTAAATAGACATTGCACGAACCACAGGCTTCCTTCCTTCATCAAACATGACGTCGACGTAGACAAAGCATGGTGAGCTGGAACCGACAACCATAGACCACCAGGCCTGCAACTCATCCGACCATCCCCAGCGCACCGCAATTGGCAAAGAACTTTCCAACTGAATGAAAAGTCGTCGCAGGCGCCCTGTTGGGTAACAAACTTCACTCCCCGAGCAGATAACGAAACCATGCACCTCCTGTACCCCGATAGCCATAAGAGTTGCCCAACCAGGTTTTGCTTTGCCTTGCTTGGGGTTAGAGCTGGCGACCTGCCAGGCAGGCTTCCTTCCTCCTGCGCCTAGGCCCCCCCCCCCCGTCCCTATTCATGGCTATGGTTGGGCTCTCTCTTGCTTGCTTGCTTGCTTGCTTGCTTGGGGTATGGAAGCCGAAACCCCTGGCCCGAAGGCATACCCCACCTCATTTCGCGTGGGTAAATCTGTGTGACCCCTTCCCGGGTTGGGAGTGGTCCTGTTCCCCTGTATGTGCCTGTGGGACCCACCCCCCAAAAACATGCCAACCAGTCCAGGCAGCACACGGTCATCCAGGGACTCCCACTACTGGCGGACTTGACTGTGCCGACATCAAAAAAATCCCAACTGGTTGGGCTCTTCTTCTTCTTCCACAGGGCATAGGGGACTGTCGAGGTCCCCCGGCCATTAGGCCCCATATCTGTTACGGGACTTTGAAGGGACAGTGAAAGGCACGTTCAAACATCAGGGCTCTTCTTCTTCTCCGGGGTTCAGGGAGCATGAGGGCTCTGTCCCTCTCTCTGTCCGTTCCCTTCAGTGGCCATAGAAGCAGAGAGCAAGGCGCCCCTGACACATGACACAGCCCCCTGCCGAGCGTTCCTCCCGTCATGACACCTCGTTTACAACACAGGTTCCCTCATGTGATGTTCTGGACTCCGACGGTGCAACATGGCCGCCAGACGGCATGGCCGCGTTGTGGTAATCAGAAAGCAATTCAAGCTGATTACAGGTACAAGACCCTCTGAGGATAGCACGGCTACGTAACACTCACATGATTAGGAGCGACTGTTAGGCTTCTAATTCTCTGACACTCAGCTTCGAACGAGGCACTGTGGAGCTTTCTACAGTGGTACTATGTGGTGCTGCAGCCGTCTCTGCTTCCCATCCTCTACATTCCTTCCTCATTCCTCCTTCCTGCAGTCACTGTCTGTCTTCCTTCTTTCTTTCGGCGGGCTCTCGGCTGCTTCTGCTCGCTCACTTTCGCACAAAAGGATTCGCAAGGCAGGTCTTGGTGAAGGTTCGGCTTACAAACATATGCTGACATGCTGAGAGCTGCACCTGTATAGCTGCAGTAGCTGCCTGGGTGGCAGAGGGAGGAGACAACCCACACCGAGCATTCATGTCCGGCCACGTTTCGTCTGCCAGCACTGGCTCGCTTTGTGTACGGTGGACTCGCCCTGTTTTGTCTCGAGACGGTGGAGGGTGGGCGTGCACGCGTGCGGGTGGATCTTTGCAGGCTCAGGGTCGGGTGTCCTCCCTGGCTTCCTGCGTGTATACCGGTTCATTCCTGCAAATCTTCCCGCAATCAGACTCGAACTGATCACTCGAGGTCTGTCCTGTTTCGAACTTTGGCTCTTGCTGTTCGGGGTGTCTCGTGGAGCGTTCCAAACGCAGGAAACCGCTCAGGCCCGCATGCAGCACAGCTCAAGTTCCACGTTGTACCAATGAGGGCCACGCCTCGCCGAATTGGGGAGCTGTGAGCCAGCTAAGGGTTGGATTCTCGGCCTGAAGGTCTGGCCTCAGGAACTTCACAGGTTGGAATTGAGCAGTGCCTGTTACCGCAGGTCCGGTACGCAAACATCAAAGATGGTATCTCCAGGGCTGCATCAATCACCGTGAAGACCTTTTCGGAGCTGTTACCATGTTACGACCAAACGCTTCATGGTGGCTCACAAGAAGGACAAAAAAACTGAAAAGTCAGGCCTGGTCCAACAGTCGAAGCTCCCATGGTTGTAGACTGGTGAGGACTGCTGGCGTTTCGATGAGCAGCCTTAACATCATAGCGTTATCTTTCGTGCAGCATTCTTCCCTTCTTCTGGCATGGACATGATCTAATACCTTCGCTTTACTGCGAAAAGTACAGATGAAACTCCAGAGCAAAGACAACTCTCTACTACACCGAAGAAGACTGTCCGGCAGCTGCAAACCAATCATCCACAAAAAAACTGAAAGGCTCTTACCTGTCTCAGGGCCACTGTCGTGGAATTGCAACGGCTATGATTGAAAAAGCTGAACGCAGTATGTCCCAAACCAGATGCTCGCTTTTTGGAATCGTCATGATGAAAGACTTCCGGCGACGGTGCGAGGGGCAAGCCTTGCTTAACGAGGACACTGCAAGTAAAAACCCATGGCATGCAGCAGCTGCCCTGTCTGAGAACTATACCAAGGAGGGAGCTTTGTGAGTCTTGCAACAGTGGGCCTGGATTCGCCCATCACGGGCTTTTCCATTGTAGTTCAAGGGGCCCGCCCCCGAGAGAAGGCTCAGGCACATCCGCTCTAATGCCCTATGCCCAGCAAGCTGTACCTCCGAGTCTGGAGAGTTGCCGACGTTGGTGCGTCGTCGTTGCTGCCCAGCGGGTGAACGCGTCTCAACGATTTGTGGATTTCCCATGGCTATATTCTCGCTGAAAGTAAGGTCCTAGGCCTTAGAGCATCAGCACGCTTTTCATTCAGTGCCTAGGACCCAGGGCCTACCGGCTCCCAATCCTACCATGCTTCCGTTCTTCCTTTCTTTCGCGCCTTCTTGTGGTCTCTTCCTCTTACTTCACGTGCATCCGCTTCCGTTTTTTCTTGTCCGTCCCTCGGTCCTGCTTCCCACCATCCGCAACTCCCTCCCCACAAAAAGCGCCAAAAGACATTAGCCGCTTCAGCCTGCATCAGTCCGCAAAAGGCTGTTTGGCTTGGACCACACTCGATAGGAGACTCAACAAACCCGAAGACTAAATCAAGCCTAGCGGCATCATGAAAAACACGAAGTCTTGGCCTTCAGGCCATCCCTTTGCCATCGTCACATTCAACTCAGCTCTGGCAGAACTGCATCGACAAAAAGCCGAGTCAAACTCACGACAATGGCATCTCACACAGTCACATTCTGGTCCAAATTTGCTTGGGCACAGTACGGGTAATGGGTAGCTCCGTGATGGTGTTTGGCATCCCTTCTGCAAGCCTGAGCATACACCAGCAAAGACTCGAGCTCAACCCGTCGAATACGACGCCAGGCAGCTGGAAGGGCTCGCATGGCTGTGCGGCCTGGAGTCAGTTGCAGCCAAATAAGAAAGCTACTATTTAGGGTACTATATTAGGGTCCCTTATTTTGGGGACCTTATAATAAGGATCCTACTATTTAGGGTACTATAGTAGGGTCCCATTGAAAGCTCGGTATTCAGTTTCAACATCTCATCCCGTGGCCTGGGACGGCGGCGGACAACTGACGCGAAACTCATTGGGCGCGGTGAACAATGCATATCTGGCGCCGGCAATCTGTGGAACCTGAGGACAAGCTTCAGGAACGCCATTTGATTCATTGAGTCTTGCAGCTTGCGCAATGTGTTTGCTGTTTTATGTTATGCAGCACTAACTAGAGCAGACGCTGCGTCTGTTGACATATGTCGAAAAAGCGCTTTCGACAGAAATGCCGTTTGTTCTGGGGCCTTCCACGTCAAGGACATCCAGCCCGTGTACCGCGGAAGAGCACCATACCTTGCCAAACGCGACAAACTAATCATATGTCGGGTTTGCGCTTGCCGAAGAGCGTCATGGCAATCATAATGTCAGAATCTGCGGAAGTGTTCCAACATATCAGATTTTCAAGAAGAGAAATAAGAAGACATCAGAACGCTAGTAACGAAATTGATGCTAAGAACGGTCAGCAACAGTTTCAAACTAATAACATCAAGAACTCCCCACCACCACCACCACCACCACCACCACCACACCACTTCCACCACAACGACGACGGAAACAGCAGCAGCAGCAGCAGCAGCAGCAGCAACAGCAACAGCAACAGCAACAGCAACAGCAACAGCAACAGCAACAGCAACAACACCAGCGTCAACATAAGAATAACAGTGATAATAATCATCATCGTAAACACGGCCTTCATAACAAGAACAATACCAATAACAACAATAGTAAAACTCGTTATGATACAAATAAGAATAAGATGAAGCAGATAGCGACAGCAATAACAACAACAATATGAACAACACTAGTCAGTAGCAATTCTAGTAATAGCAAGTATACTAACAGTGATAATAACAGTAATCCAAACAAGACTAGTAATAAGAAGAAGAACAGTAAATACACTATCAACAACAATAACGATAACAACAATAATGGTAGTGGTAATGGTAAAACAAGAACAACAATACTAGCAATTATAAGACTGAACATGGGAAATGGCAATACTACCAAGAACAAGAAAAGCGAGAGCAACAGTCATCATAACAACTGCTATAACAAGAGCCATGGGAACGAATGATTATGAGAAAATAGCCATGCTTGCAGCTGGCCTCGCTTCAACGTAGCAAGGCTCGACCCCGAATCCAGGAGCAGAGCCCCAGCCGACAATTCGGTCGCTCTGCACACCAGTGATCTCCTCAAGCAAAGCAGCTGGGAACTTGGGTTTGGGGCCAGGGTTTAGGGTTTAGGGTTTTGGGTTTGGGGCCAGGGTTTTTTCGCTCTGGTAACTGGCTCAGTGCTGAGGGTTGAGGGAAACACGCACACTTGGGCTTTTTGGGGCAGTGCACGAATCTGCTTGCAAGGAAGCTTCATCCACTGTCACACGGCGGGCCAGAACAAACCAACGTGGGTCCAAATTGGTTCTCCGCGGCGTCAACCTGACAGAAGGCATGCTGTGCTCTCAATAGCTCACATCCCCCACAACATGCTCAGACAGAAGTGCTATAGGCTAAGTGACACCCGAAACTGATAAGACATCTCGTCTACCAGCGGGTTCACAATCTGGCGCAGGTCCAACTCCACCATTGCACGGGCATTGTCCCTGAAGGATCGCCACATGGGATACATGGAATGCCCATGCCGCCGCAGACAACCCATCTTTTGCAGCCGGCACACGGAGCCAGAGCACCCAGAGGCACAAAGCCGTAAGGAAGGATGACCAACAGACGTGAGTAGGCCGTCTGCCCTGCGCCAGCCTGAAGAAAACGCGCCAAGTTAGATCACGTCGGTTCAGTTTCGGGCGTTGGCAAGCTTGAGCCGGGTGTATCGGACCTTGATGGTGATCGTGATGTAGACGGCCTGTACAGCTTCGCGAGCTCTCCAGCCTACGGCGACAAGCATAGAACGCCGAGAGGCAGATAGAGGTGGACTGCGCCCCACCTCAGTGAACAAACGGGTACCCCGTGCCAGGCAAAGACCTCGAAGCACTGGCTTGGTTCGCGGCATGAGGCGCCACGGTCACGGCCATTTCAGGTACGGATGTGATCGAACTGGTCTCTCCGTCGTTGGAGCTTGTTGGAAACCTCACGACACGGGGTTGCACTCTGTTTTTGCCTTTGCAAGCCATCGGCCGTGAACCCGACAGTGCCGGGCACCATTTCCAGGCGCGGCCGACTTTGGCAGAACACGAGAATGCAGTAGCATTCGGATAGAGCTGCTCGACAATGGATCTAAACCGACGGGGTGCTGGAAGTACCGCAAACATTGGAAATCCAAAGACCCAAGTGCCCAAGTGCTAGCAAAAAAAACCGCGAAACTAGTAAATCCTCAACCCTGCACTACGAAGCTGCGCCTCTTTCGGTTCTCTAGGCCTGGTGCCAGTATTAGGGTTTAACGAAAAACCTGAAACATATTGAGCTTATTGAAGCCTCAATTTAGGAAGCCCGAAACTCGACGCTCGAACAATGCGAAGCGTGGGCCCATCCTCAGAGCCGATGAGCACCAAGGAAGGGTGAGCAACAAGGCCTCTATTGTCACGAAACCCTCAGAAATCCTAGGCTTGCAGGGGAGATTCGCAGACAATCCACACAGAGGTTTCCGAAGGTTGCACAGATTCGGCCGGTCTGAAGTTGCACATAGCTCCACAGCTTCGTAGGATTTTGTGCGGTTTCTGGTCCGGACATCTAGTGGCTCGTAGACCGGGGCCTGAACTCTACCAAGGAGCCCAGTGGTGTCCTCGGTGGAGATGGACCACCAGGTCTCCGCCATGGACGGCAGTAGCCAAATCTGCACCCGATAATTTCTGTTGGCCTCCAGGGCCATTGTCCGCTGACCATCGGTAAGAGATGCTATCCTGGGTCCAGGGGGAGCCGAAACCTGCACTTCGAGACTCAAGGATTCGGGCCCCTGGCTCATCCAATGCTGATCTCTCCACCACGTAACGCGGATCCATTGGAAGCAATACCATTCGGAGCCCAACAGGCACGTCGAAGGTGTCCCGAATAAGCGACATCCTGAGATTCAACTCGTGCGTTTTGGAAGCTGCCGCGTCCACCCAAAATCTCCAAGCAACTCTGTCGACAAGGGTCTGAGTGAAGTTGACACCAACGATGTCACCACAACTCCAAGTCCCCTGCTCGTCTGCACCTGCACAAACCCGCGCACGAAGAATTGCAAAGAAGTCAAGGAACGATCTAAGCAGTGGCCTTTGCGACTCTTGTAATGCCGACATTTGGGCCATAATGCCATTCAGTCTATGGCCCTGGAGGCTGCTTTCACTGGTTCAGCTGCAGCTTCGCACGCCTGAGTCTGGGCCGTGGCAAAGGTCGATCCTCGGCTCATAGCCCTCCTCGTTGATGGGCTCCTTCAGAGGTACTGATCTTTCCGACATATCCAGCGGCAACCCATCTTGGGGTCTCTATGCTGATAAGGCGCATGGGCGACTCTGCCAGCTGATGTGACGCTCTGAATCAGCAACACATCGCCAGCCATAACATAGTGCGAAAGCACGACGAAGAACTCCTTGCCGGACACGACTGTAGGCTATGGCCTACATATGGAGGCTTCGCCAGAAGAGCGGCTTAACAAAATCTTCCAAGTCTCCATGCGCGAAAGCTGCATGGCGAAGGGAGGAAGAAGCGGCACCACGGAGTCGTAGAGCTCACCTGCTTTGGCATGTGCCCCCCTCTACGACTCAATGGCTACCTGGGCTGTGCAGCGCTTCAACGTTGCCCAAACAGGTGCCGACCTTGGTAATGCCTGACGACCGTTTCGCTTTGAAGCAGCTGCGTATGCAGTGACACACTTGCGGGCTGCACAAAGCCCTGAAAGAAGTTGATCCTCCTGCCAAACAAAGTAGCTGGGACTCAGATGACTGCTTTCATCCGTGAACTGAGCCTGACGAAGCACACCTTTGATCTGAGGACGTAATGTCTCCTTGCAACTTCTGTGCTCATCATAGCATCCGTGTACATGTCGAGACCTGGGCAGCTCACCGATGATATCCGTCCTCCCTGACTGGGCTGGGGTCCAAGCTGATCCGAGTCGGTCCGCCTCCGAGACCGAGCTGAGCCTCACCCAGGAAGATCTCGTGCTTCTCAAAAGGGCGGAAGTCGCCGTTGGTCACGACAACGCGACCGCCCTTTGCACAACAGAATCATCTCGCAGGATTGTGCAGGAACAGGCTCTCGACACGGATGACCGGGTGGGACTGCAAGACTGGTTATGCAAAGATCAGCCCATACTGTCGTTTATGCAGTGGCGAAGCACTCGAAGCAATATCCAAGCGCCTCCCGATCCCCACGATCGTGTTGCCTACCCCCTCGTTCCTTCAAACGTGATCCTCGCCATGTTGAAGGCTCCCGGTAACTTGAGAACTGCAACATGACGTCCGCATACTTCCGGGACATAAAACGCATCATCAACAGGTGGTTCAACAGTTACTGGGCATTTTGGTGTCTGCTGAAATCTGCATATGAAATTCCGCACAAGCCTTTGAGAGCACTTCGGCATCAAAATCGACGAGCCTGCGTGCGCTCGTCTCGTAGCAGCGGAGCTCCCGGCCTGAACTTGGCACTTGTCACGCTTTTCGCCCTGCTACACACCGCTTTCGGGCCAAGGACAGCCCTGCCTCACATATTCGAAGTTGAACCCCTGCGGAATGTAGAAGTTGATTTCCATTGTGCTCCCCCACACTGTCGGAATGAAGGTGATCGAGATGTCGCTAATGGATCCAGCACGCTGCCTGCGAAAGCAGGGTTCCAACTGCGAGTGCAAACAACACGCAGGCAACAAGTTGTCAAGGAATGGGCACTTCGTGCCTCCAACCCGAAATGATGGCCGTCACATTGTTTAGCAGCCCGTACACTGGCCAACCGGGCACAGAACCTGCGGACAGGAGCCTGGCAGCAAAAAGGCAGACACAAACTGCACATTACGGGATGACGAGACGACGGAGCCTTCTATCCTGCGCTGCCCAGTGTACCATCTTCCACCAGCTCCTTTCAGTGCTCTGCAGGCGACATACGCCAACAAGCAGCAACAGAATGCAAGCCTGATAGAGTCTTTTGGCACTGCCGAGTTGATCACGGACATCGTGAAGCCTCGGATACCATGGCCCCAGGCACTGCGAAAGCTAGAGAGCTGCCATGCTTCGGAATCTCGACAGCTTTCAAGCCTCGAAACGGAGGTCTGTTTCGTCCTCGAGCACAGGATCCGCTCCGACATGGGAGATGTTGACCTCTACTCCACAAACACCCGCCGGAAGAGACGGCTCATGCCTCCGTGGAAAGACTTGACCTCTGGGCAACGGACGATCAGCCAGCATTGCAACTCCTCGCCCACCCAGCAGCGACAGTTCGGCTCCACATCTTCCCGCAAGGGCCGAAAAGTGGTAGGCCACCTCATGTCCGCTTCCAGTCAGGAGCGCTTATGAATTTGCCTAGACTGCAACTCGAAACAAGAACACCCTCGATTATCATCGTCACACGCACACACACACACATCATAGAGGAAGGGTGGGGACAACCGGGGAGGGCAGATGACGGGAGTGAGGGTAAGCCAAGTTTGAATCTCTCTAATTTCCGGATATCTCCGTCTCTTAAGCCTGGCTGCTCACATATCAAACAGGTAAATTGTATATGGGTGATAATTGACCTTTGCGCAGTTGTGCAAGCAGACCTTCGATCGGGCGAAAATCGCAATGACTGGACGACCTAAGGTCTCGCCAACGGCATAGTGGCACCACAAGTAAGATAGATATGAGATAGCAACAATTTACCAAATGAAAGTGAATAGTGAACCCAAAAAGACCCAACTTCAACTAAAAAATCATGCATTCTCTTCGTAACATTACATCTAACTAGTTTAATCTGTACTTGTTGGTTCCTTTCTACAGTAGGTTCTAGGATTTAACAACTAAGAGCACAAACAATCTCATCAAAACTAATCTGTTCTTATAATCTTATCTTCTACATGTTTGTGAATTGCTAATTTCCTGTGTTGTTCCATTTTGACTGTGGGCTTTGCGTGGCCTAGGCTTCTATCATCTGTAAAATTACACCTGTAAGGTTGGTACCTCCTTGGCCGGACAACACCTAATTTTCTCTTATCTTTCTCTCACTCACGGCCGGCTCTTGCGCTTTGCATCGGAGCGGCTGACGACCCTAAACCCTGGAAGGGTGGAGTTTGACATAGGTCCCTGTTCGTTTCTTGTTGTTCCGCTGTCTTTTGTTGACTGGTTACCTGCCTTTCGTGTTTAGTTTCCTAGAGCAAACCTAGTATTTGGTATTCTCTGCCCTCCGAGAACGCAAACCCCCAACAGCAAGGTCTTTGAACCCGAAACCGCGAGAACCCTCAACCTGAAACACTAAAACCTCCAACCAGAAACCGAAAGTCCTTAACCCTCAACTGTTAACCCGAGGACTGGAAACCGTAAGCCAATAAATCCTGAACCCAGTTTTCGTTTTGTTTTAGGCAGGCGCGATCCATCGTAAAAACGAGAAGAGCGCATTTCTTGCTCCTTTTGGAATCTTCCAGTTTTGCCGCCCTAAACGTGGACCGCAAACCATCAAATCCCAAAGCGAAGCCCCGAAACTCCGAACCATAAACCTTTAACGCTAAGCTTAAGCCCGGGTCGTGAGCCCTTTAACCCCAACTCGTCAATCCGTAATTCCATGAGCATAAAACCCAAAAAAAAATTAAACCCTGAACCCTCAACCGCAACAAAGGCCAAAAGAAACTTCTACCGTCCAATCACACGCCTTGAAGACTTTAAACCCTAGGCGCAACCACATCAACCCTACGCCGCAAACCTAAAAGAAAGCGAAACAATCCTACACCTTAAACCTTAAACCTCACTAACTAAGCTTGACATGTAAAAAAGCGAGCAAGTCCTGAAGCTAGACCTTTTTTTTGTGGAGGTCCCTAGAGCTGGACCTGAAACCCTTAACCAAACCTGAACCCGCCCCCAACCGCAAGCCCCAAACCCTAAACTTCACGTTCTAAACCGAAACCCTGAAACCCGTCAATGCTAAACCGCCATGGTTTACACCCAACTCGCCCAACCGTCAACTTCTAAAGAAGCTCACGCTAAGCCAAGCTTTAGGCGTAAAGCTAAAACAAACCTAAAACTTAAGCCATAAATCGCAAACCACTGAACCCCCAAACCTCACATCCCAAGCCCTATACACCTTAACCCCTAACCCTAAACCCAAAAGACTTGAATCCTAAACCGTAACGCCGCAAACCCCGGCACCCACACACCATGAACCCAAACACAAACGGCAAGCCCCAAACCCTAAACCTTACGCCCTCAACCCTAAACCCTTAAACCAGTCAACCCTGGATCCATTACAGCTCGAACAATGGACTCTTAAGCTCATTAAGCTCTACATACACCCAGGCCGTCCCTCGAACTGCAAGCCGTAAACCCAAATCACCTGTCTACACCCCAATCGCCCCGAAGACGATCATCTACGGCTTTGAAGGCATAAACCGCAAGGCACCAAACCCCGAACTTAAAGCGTAGATACTTAAACCCTAAATCTCAAACCGTAAAACCCGCGAACTGTCATCCCTGTAACCCTGAATCGCAAGCGCACGGATCCTAAACCTGAAACCCTAAACCTGAACCCAGCCCCAAACGCAAGCCCAAACCCGAAGCTTCGCGCTCAAACCCAAAAACCCTTAAACCCTTCAAGCCTAAACCGCAATTGCTTGCACCGCGCCGCAACTTCTGAGGAAACTCACTCTAAGCTGTAGCCGTAAACCCAAACAAGCTCAAACATAACCCATAAATCGCAATCGTTTGAACCCCAAACCATGCCCTCACATCCCAAGCCCTCTACACCTTAAACTCTGATCCTGAACCGTAAATGTTTGAGTCCTAAACCGTACCTACCACCGTCGAATCTGACAACACCCACAAGCTGCAAACAAGCGAACTCTTAAACCCCAAAGCTCGAAATGAAAAAGCCTTGGACCCTAAACTCTACACCGTGAGCCCAACCACAAACGGCAAGCTCCAAACCCTAAACCTTACGCTGTCAACCCTAAACGCTTAAACCCGTCAACCCTGGTAAACCTTTACACCCCGAACCACGCACTCTTAAGCTCATTAAGCTCGTTTTATCCCCCAAACGATCCCGTGAACTGTAAGCCGTAAAGCCAAAAAGCCCAAGCCGCCCAAGCCTTATGCAAACCCTAAACCGCAACCCACGACATCCCGAACCGCACGGCCTTGAACCATGAATACCAAAACCGTAAACACCGAATTAAGTCGTAAATTTTAGACCTCAACACCCGCAAAGCGTCGCCATTGTAACCCTGATGCGCAAGCGAACAAATCCTAAACCTGAAACTTTGGCCCGAATTTCCTCATCAGCGAGTCATGCCGTAGCCCCAGTTCCCATGCAATTGCTCCAATGGAGAAGGGAAGGACCGAGATCTCGTGTGGTGTGGAAGCTCAGTGCGGGTCGTGTCGCGATGCTTTGGGATCGCTTGCTCGAGATGATTTTCCGGCCGAGAGTTCAGCCAGGGCATCCAACTACCCAGCAGCCTGCAGAGTTTGATGTATGGATATGTGCTCAACCAGAGCCTGGAGGGCATCCAAGTACTCAGCAGCGTGCAGAGTTTGATGTTTGACTATGTGCTCAACCAGAGCCTGGAGGGAATCCAACTACCGAACAGCCCGCAGGGTTTGATGTTTGATTCTGCCTGCAACCAGAGCATGGAGGGAATCCAGTCCTACGAAGAGGGACTATGCACCGACGATGCTGTGTTCTGATGACCCTGACTCCAATTTCTCGATGTAGCCGTTCTTGAGCCAGTGAGTGTGAAAAGTAACGAAACATCGTGACGATTTGCAGCATGATGGATATGTCATCGCTTCGTCTCTCCATTTTCGTTTGTGCATACGACTTCACTGCTCATCCGGCAATGTCTAAGCGGGCACAGATACTTTGAAGTGCGGGGCATGTTAGCTTTGTTCTTGCCGCCTCCCACAGCCCCTGGAGGAATGCTCAAAGCTACCTTGCTGGCTTCGTGGTCGTTCAT